ATAAAAGTAAACGTCAAAATAATGAGTTATTACCTAAAAGTATAAGAGGGATTATTGTTGGAAAATCAGGTTGTGGAAAAACAACATTATTATTAAACTTGCTATTAAGACCTGGTTGGTTAGACTATAATAATTTACAAGTTTTTGGAAAATCTCTTTTTCAACCTGAATACAAAATATTAAAAAATTCTTTTGAAAATAAATTACCAAAAGAAGTTATTCTTAAACTATTTGAGTTGCAAGATCAAATAAATAAAAACAATGTAAATCCAGAGTTTGTTATTAAAGACATTTCAAGAAATTTAAAAGATAAAACAGATATAGAGTGTAAATTTTTTGAAACAGCAGATGATGTACCAGAACCTGAAAATCTTAACTGTATTAGAAATAATTTAATGATATTCGATGATTTACAATTAACAAAACAAAACAAGTGTGAAAAGTACTATATAAGAGGAAGGCATAGCAATGTAGATTGTTTCTACTTGGCACAAAATTATTTTGAGTTGCCTAGGAGAACGATAAGAGAAAATGCAAATTTTATTTGCTTGTTTAAACAAGATTCTAAAAATGTAAATCATATTTATAATGATCATGTTTCGAATGATATGAAATTAGATGAATTTAAAAAGTTTTGTAATGAAGCTTGGTCAAAAAAGCATGGATTTGTTGTTATAGATTTGTCTTCTGATCTATTAAATGGAAAGTATAGAAGTGGATTAGATTTATTTTATTATCCAACTTCTTTGTGGAAACAATAAATATATATTTTTTAAAAAATATATATTTTTATGAAGATCTAGTTCCTAAAGAAGAAGACCTAATAAGGGTATATTCTTAAATGGAGAATTTTCTCCTAATAACAATCCTTTACCTACTGATGAATATTCATTTCCATTTTTTGAATAATATCCGTCTAAATAATTATAACTACCATTCCATGGGTTTAAAAATACGCCTTTTCCTACTTTTCTAATTTTAAATCCATAACCATTCTTTTTTCCATAAATAATACCATTTCCATAAATAATACCATTTCCAGCAATTTTATTAACTATAGTACTTCCAGCAGCTGCAGCTGTTCCAGTCAATAATCCTGTTGCAATAGCTGGAACAACTTTTGATGCAATTACACTTCCAATTAATCCTAGTAAAGGTAGAAATCCACCATTTTTTTTAACATTATGTTTAAGTTGTGCTCTACTCAGTGAAAGTGTTATACCCTTATTTTTTAAATAGGCTGCATTCATTCTGTTTATTTGTGATTCTGTTAAAGCTATTTTGTGTTCACCATTTAAATCTTCATATGATAGTTTTATACTAGCATTAGTATCAGATTCAATTGCTTTTTTAATTTTTTCTTTCTGAGTATCTGAAAGATTGATAAGAGTATCATAGTATTTTGTCATTTTTTTATATATAAAATAATTTTTTAAACCACTTTGTGATTATTGCTTTCTGTAATGCTTTATACTCATCATCATCTATTTGCCCCTGTCGTAACAACTCATCACAAATAGCAACAATCTCATTTCTTGTTCCAGTATTTCCTGCTTGTAAACCAGCTAAGCGTAATTTAAGCATATCAAATAGTGCATTTGGATCACTAGGAAGAATAACAACTCCTTTTCCAGACTTTCCAATCATCTCTTCCCAAATAGGTTTTATTACATTAGTGTACTTATAACCTTTAGATGATCTTGGTTTAGCTAAATTTAAATCAGAGCGAATTGCATCTGTTTGATTTAAAATTTCTTTATACTTATTACGATCATCATTAGTATATCTAACAGGATGAGATTTTACTATGATTTCCCAAAGACCAGGTGTACCAGTGTATTTTTTACCTTCAATAATTATATCATTACCTTCAATAGTTATTGGTTTTTTACCAATGTAAAATTTTTCATTACCTTCATTGTAATGTATACCAAATATGTCATCTGATACTTTTTTACTATTTTTAGTAGTATATAACTTTAAATATTCTGTTGCGATAGGTCCTAATCTCATGTTATCTACAACTTCAGGTGGCATGATTGCTTTAGTTTCAGAATCTAGTAAAGCAGGATAATTTGAAAAAGTATTTGCTATTTGATTAGCTTTATTTTCTAATTTAGATATACCTTCTTTTATTCCAGATTGACTATCTATTATTGGTTTGTACATTTTTTCCAAGTTAGTCTGTAAAGCATCATAGCCTAACTTTTCATTAATAGAATCTTGATATACACTTTTCTTTAAACCATCAAGTTCTTTTGCTATTTTTAATCTTGCATCAATATCTGTAGCTTTTGCATACATTTTTATATAAGCAATAATTTTTTTAAATCACAATGTGATCCCTAAATCCCTAAAGGGATTAAAATCAACATATATTATGTTTTTAATACATAATATATGTTCAAATAATACAAAATATATGTTTTTTTATTTAATTCTTAAGAGTATTATTCATCACTCCTATATTCTGATTTTTGTTAAATCTCATATTTAGCAATTCCATAGCTTCTTTCATTGCTTTCTCTTTACCTTGATTAATTAATGACTCTTTAGTCTGTTCATCTATATTATTTTTAGATTTTGTTCTAATTTGTTCAGTCATAGCTTGAAACTTTTCAAGTTCTGAAAGTATCATATTAAATTCTGCATCATCAATATATTGATCTGATGTAGCTTTAGAAATAAGACTACTTATTGTATTTAGTTTTGCATCAGCTAGTACTTTAATCTTTTCATGCTTTTCTGCTTTTATTGTTAATTTTTTAATAGCTTGTGATCCTATTAGTGATAATACACCCATACCTAATGCTGCACCTTCACATGCAATAGCTACTGGTGTTCCAACTATTGTTGTTAAAAAACCAATACCAACAGCTCTTAATGTCATAGTGCTTGCTAGTAATGTATTATCAACTGCTGAAATGATTCTTACAGCTCTGTGATATTTCTTACTTAAAATCTCTCTTCTAATTCTTTCACATTCTATTTTATCTTGAATTTCACTAATCTTTTGTAATCTAAAGTTATGATCTATAGATTGCGGTGGTGCAGATGGATTTTCTGAAAACTGGTTAAGATCTGGATAAAGCTGCTTACATTCATTATTATATCCATTATTACATAGCATTTCTTTTTTCTATAAAGAAAAATTTGTTTTAAATCACTTTTGTGATCAATGCTTCGCTAAATCACTTTTTACCAAAATCAAATATAGTTTTATCTTCATCATATATAGTTTCTTTAATTACTTCTCCTATACTTGATAATAAAGATTTTACAGATTCTTTATCACTTTTCTGTTTAGTTCCTGATTCATTATGTGGTTTAACTTGTTCTTCTTTAACATGTTCTAAAGCATCTCTATGTGATATATAATTTGCATTTAAAATACCATTATAAGTTGATATACAACATAACAAATCTCCTTTTTTAATGTTTATATCTTTTTTATCGTAATTATATAAAGTTATTTTAATATCATCAGTAGACTCTATTACAACAGAATTTAGTAAATTTAGTGATGGTTTATAATTTTCTGCAAGTGAAATCATTACATGTCCTTTATCTATTTCAACTCCACACATTAAAGAAATGTTTTCATATGAATTTGATTTTACTGTAAAATCTTCTTGTGCGAATACTTTAATATGTCTATCATTTATTGCTCTATGTTCTAAATCTGAATTAATATTAAAAGTTATTCTATATTGTTCATGCTTTTCATAATATAAAAACATTCTACTATTATACATTTTATAAATGTAAAGATTTTTTTAAATCACTCTGTAATCCTCATATCTATTTTGTTTTTAAAGTTCTAGCAATATAATTTAAAATGCTTTCACCTTGATGTAAAAAATTACACTTTTTATTATCATTATTTTTATATATTAATATTTTTTCTCCTTTTTTATTTTTCTTTAATTTACTCTCTACTAATTTACATGGATTATAATGACAAATTTCTACATTTTCTTCAATTTCTTTTATAGAATGAGCATATTTGCAATTTATATTTTTACATTCTTTTTTATCAAGAATATATTTGCATAATTTAGTTTTAGCTTTTCTTAATTTTAATAATTCTGACTTTTTAGGATGGAATAATCTACATTTTTTATTCTTACATTTAGGGTATTCATTGCAAATATGAATATGCCTATATTGACATGAAGATTTAGTGCATATGAGTCTTTCTTTTACAGTACTACAATAAGGAATATCATGATTGTATTTACATCTATTTTCAAAATGACAATAATTATCTTTTAAAATATTTTTACAGAAAATAGGTAGTTTTTCTACAAAATGAATTGTTGAAGGTTTTCCATCTTCAGTAAAATTAATATCTACATTAAATGGTTTTTCAAAACTAAATTTTCTTTTTTTGTAATGTTTTTTAAAAGAAGTATTATCTATAGCAGGATAATCATCATTAATAACATTATAAGTTGGAACATAATTAATCCATTTCAGCTTATCTTTATGCAGTTCCATGATTTGAACTGTTTTTAAAGGAATTGGAACTATAGGTTTTTCTTTAACTTCATCTTCTTCATCAGATGTATAATAAGTAGCTTCATCAGATGTATAATAAGTGTCATCTTCAGAATCTGATTCTTCAAATTCAAATTTTCTCATTTCTTCAAAAAGTTTAAATTCTTTTTGAAATTCAGATATTTCATTAATTTCATCATCATTCATTTTTTATTTTTTATTATTTGTAAAAATATTTTAAATCAAAAAAAGAAAATAAGTTAAATAATTTTCTTTTATATATAAAAAGAATGGAAAACGAAATGCAAAATTCATTTTTAAAATCAATAGAACAAAGATTAAGATTAATAGAAGAAAAATTAAATATTATTGATATTCATGATATTGAAATGACTGAAGAGGATGAAGAGAATGAAGAAGTTACTACAGTTACAGAAACTACAGTTACTACTGAAGTTACTGAAATTACAGAAACTACTGAATATGATAATGATATTGAAATGACTGAAGAAGATGAAGATTACGAAGATGAAGAAGAAGTTACTACAGAAACTACAGTTACTACTGAAGTTACTGAAATTACAGAAACTACTGAATATGATGATGAAGATAGTGAAGATGAAGTTGTTGTATTTGATTATTAGAATACATAGAATTAAATATTTTATTTTTTACAAAAAAATAAATTGAAAAATGAGTTAAATAATTTTCTTGTGTATATAAAAAGAATGGAAAATAATAATGAGAATAATAATTCTTTAATAAAAAACATAATTGAGCCTTCAACTCAAATATATTATATTACTGCAATATTAAAAAAATATGGGTATAAAAAAGGTAATAAAGCTGATTTTGCTGCAAGTATAGGCAGAAATGATCTTATTAAATTATTAAATCAATTAGGTGTAAAGAGTACAGAAGATGTACAAAAATATTTACATTCATTAGGTTATAAAGGTATAAAAGATGCAATAGATAATGCTGTAAAAAATAGTCACCTTGAAGTAGTAAAATATTTAATTGAATTAGGATATGGATGTTATGATTGGATAATTCATGTTGCTGTAGAAAATGGTCATCTTGAAGTAGTAAAATATTTACATTCTATTGGATATAGAGTAGAAGAATGGGAAATTACTCGTGCTGCAGAAAATGGTCACCTTGAAATAGTTAAATATTTACATGAATTAGGGTATAGAGGTGCAGAATATGCAATTTATCTTGTTGTACACAAAGGTCACCTTGAAGTTGTAAAGTATTTAATTGAAAAAGGGTATAGAGGAGCAGAAGATTCAATTGATTTCGCTGCAGAAAATGGTCACCTTGAAATAGTTAAATATTTACATGAATTAGGATATAAAGAAAAGTCACGTGACCTGTGACGTCATGCAAGAATTTTTCGTAATATTTTGTAACAAGAAATAAAAAAATTGAAAATGAATTAAATAATTTTCTTGTGTATATAAAAAAGAATGAATCAAGAAAATAATATTGAAAATAATAATTTTTTAACAAAAAACATAATTGATCCTTCATCTCAAATATATTATATTACTGAAATTTTAAAAAAAGAAGATTATAACGATAATTGGAATAAAATTGACTTTGCTGCAAAAAATGGTCACCTTGAAGTAATTAAATATTTACATTCTGTAGGATATAAAGGATCATATTGGGCAATTGATTTAGCTGCAGAAAATGGTCACCTTGAAGTAGTAAAATATTTACATTCATTAAATTTAAGAGGACCTGACGATTTAATTGATTCAGCTGCAAAAAATGGTCACCTCGAAGTATTAAAATATTTACATTCATTAGGATATAGAGGAACAGTATGGACAATTGAAGGTGTTGCAAAAGAAGGTCATCTTAAAGTACTTGAATATTTACATTCAGTAGGATATAGAGGAACAGATTGTGCAATTGATTTAGCTGCAGAATATGATCACCTTGAAGCAATTAAATATTTACATTCAGTAGGATATAGAGGGACAAAATGGGCAATTAAAAATGCTACAAAAAATGGTCATCTTGAAGTAGTAAAATATTTACGTTCTATAGGATATAAATAAGAAGCAAGAAATAAAAATTGAAAATAAATTTCTTTACATAAATTATAAGAAATGGATTTTACAAGTAAAGATATTAAATTAGGAAGTTATAAAAGAAGATTAAGATTAGCTCGTTATTTGCAAAATAAAATTAAATTACATGCTGAAAAGTTAGAAAAGGAAAGATTAGAAGAAGAAAAGTTAAAAACACCAGATAATATTTATTATTAGAAAAGTCACGTGACCTGTGACGTCATGCAAGAATTTTTCGTAATATTTCATAACAAGAAATAAAAATTAACACTTATTTTAAAAAATTGATTTTTTAAAATAAAAAATTATTTCTTATCGAAATGATTTATATACAATAGGGTTAACATTGAACCCTATATTAATATTAATTTATGGTTGAAAATAGGGTTGAAAATGAAAATGTCCCAGAACTCTCCTTTTCCTACTACTAATATATTATCAATATCGTAATTTATTTTTAAAGAATTGTAAACACACGAGTATCAATAAATAAATAAAACTTAGTTACTTAGTTAATGAAACATTTTTGATTTAAGACATAATTAAATACATTTATAATGAAGTGTTTCATAAGTTTTTTTTTCAGAAAGTAACTGCTTTTTTGATTATGAAAATAACTTTTAATTACAAACATTGTGGTACATAAAAATGTTTAATTTTTACATTTCTATTTATTTAGCAAACAAGTTTTCATTATAGACTTTGAAATGTCATTTAGTGCAAGCGCTCAATTTGCAAATGCTACATCCGAAAGCGCTAAATTTGTATGTAACAAAAAAGCTTAATTTTGAAATTCAACTTGCGAAATACATTTCGGAATGAGTACATGCGAAATGAACATTGGCAGTTGTTTTGTTTAAAAGTAAATTTTATGTTATCATCTTTTTCAAAGAAATTTTTTTTTTCCGGAATTTTACAAAACCTTCTGGTTAACAACTCTAGTTTGATGAGACACGGACGTATGTAGCGAATAGCACAAATATGGTAGTTGCAGGATTTAACAGTGTTGTTTAAATGCTGATCCATAGAGTGTTGACGCATAAGGTTCTTTCCCAATTTTCTATTGTTTGTTTTGTTTCTATTTATTGTTATTTTTTATTGTTTCAGAGAATTTTAATTTTATAATTATTTTTAAACTTGCCAGTTTTCTAAAACCAAAAAAGCTTTTATTTCGTTTGGATTAAGCAAAAGCCTCCTTTTCTAGAAACCATTTTGTGACTGCATTAATACAATCAGTCATTCTGCTGATGCTATCTCTTCCTGAGTTGATAAAAGTATATATTTGGGTATCAAACGTATACTGAAAATGAATTGTGCCATGTTTAGCTATAATACAATATACGGGTGAAACAAACATCAAAAATAGCAATGGGTCTAAAACGCTACCCTATGGCACTTCTGTTGAACTCGGTGACAGACAAGATTTTGTTAAGCCAATAGACACAATTTATTTGAAAGTGCAAGTATGATGTTATTTTAGTGCATTATCTGTTATCATTACCAAATTCATTTTTTATACCGGCAATCAATTGGTTGTGATCTAGTGTATCAAATGCTGCTGGTATATCTAAGAGTAAGTAGAATGCTATTTAAATCATCATCGATGTTTAGTCATCTTTGCATATCTTTTGTAATGATCTTATGGTTGAGTAATTAAATATAAAACCAGATTGAAAATGAAGTTAAAAGTTAAAGTTGCAGTTAAGTAAGAAATCGATATAAAACAAGCTTTCAATAATTTTAGATATTGTGTTGAGACTTGACTTTAGGCACAGATCAGTCAAGTCAAATTCTTTTGTCCTAGCTTTATTGGGAATCAGTGTATTTTAAGCAATCCTGAATGAGCCTGGAGAAATAACTGCTTAAAAAAAAATTTTATTGACTTTTTTTTTATCTATATTTTTTAATGTTTAAACTAAAACTTTCTTCTGATTTAAAATATGAGACAAATCTTTGCGGATACTTATATTATGTAACAAGTTTTTCAAAAACCATGTAACTATTTTAAACAAATGGCCGAATTTGATTAAAGCTATACTATATTTGACTAATTTTAAATTATCAAAAAAAAAAAAAAGTTCTTATAGCAAGTTTATCTTCTATGAAAATCTCAAAAAACGGCGATACATTGTATTCTACAGACACTATTGTTCGTGCTTTCGAATATTTTCTGTTTCAAGAGCACTTCATAAACAAATCAGAAATGATTGACAGCTTCCGTGTGTTTTAACTCTACAAAAGTTGACTTCAAAAGCTTCTAAAATAGACAATGGCAAATTTATTTTATGTGTGTTTAACAAGCTTACAGATAACAAACGAGAGTTTTTTTTAATAGAAGATGAAGTCAATGTTAAAGCTTCAATAGCTTACTATGGTGAAGAACTTTATTAATGTTCAAAACTTGGTGATCATAAACTGTTATGAGACCCGTTGCGTACTGTCATTGAATCACTAGATGAACTTAGCCTGCAACAACTTAATTTTTTCTAAAAAATGTGTGAAGTTTATTACTATTTTTATTAGTTTTTTTTATTAATTTTTTTTCTTTAGAATACTCTTTTAGAATTTTAGAATTTTCTTATACCCGCCATTTTAGGTGGTTGTAATGACGACATAATCACTTTTTTCTTTTTAAAACATCTTCGCATCCAACAAGGCTGCAAGTAACCACTCATTAGAGTCGGAAGTTACTGAAAAAGAAAATATGAAGATTGTAGAACAAGATAACGATTGACAGACGACTTTAAAGATTGCAAATTTTAGGAATCAGGAAAGCAAGATGAAGGAAGCGAATTTCAAAAAACAAATGTTCGAAAAAAAAAATGGCACAAGAGACGCTAAATCTTTAGAGCAGTGCCCATTACAGTATTTGTAGAAAAGAGAAAGAGAAGCAACATTACGGCGATGTGATAATGATTGAAGGTTGGCTGCAAGAGCAGGTCCAAATATGTTTACAATGCGTTTTTGCACCTTGTCTAAAAAAGGAAGGGCATCATTAGAAGATCCGCCCCAGATATGGTAACAGTATTCCATACACGGACGGATTTGAGATTTATAGAGATAGAGAATAGAATACTGAGTGAGAAAGTTTCAAACTTAATAAAGAGATGCAACATTAGCAGATGCTAATTTTGCAACGGATTTGATATATGGTTTATATAAGTAAGAGTTAGTCCTAGAATATGAAGGGTAGGTGACTCATCAAACACATTACCGTTTATAAATATAGAAAGGTCTAAATTATTGCGATAACGATTGACTGTAAAAAAATGAAAAGTTTTGTGAGCACCATGCTGTTGCAGAAGTGAGCCCAAGCAGAAGTGAGATCATTGTCAAGCTCAAATGTCCCCTCCAAGCAATCAGAGAGAGAGTTGGCTTCTTGTCATGACAAGAATAAATGGTAGTATCATTAGCGAACAATGCCACCTTAGTTGTGAAAATATCTGGAAGATCATTAATGTAAATTAAAAAAAGTATAGGGCCAAGATATGAACCTTGAGGAACCCCTGAGGTTACAGAATAAGAAGAAGAGTGCTGTCCATCGAAGAAAACTTTTACACTACGATTGGAAAGGAAGGATTCAATATTCTTAAAGATGTTTCCAGTAACCGTGCACCGTAAGAAGAAAGCTTATGGAGAAGACCAGCATGCCAAATTTTATCAAAAGTTTTAGAAATGAAAAGAGCGATGGCCTTAACTTCTCCACCTTTATCTAATGCACAATAAAATCTATTGGTTATTACTGTTAGAAAATCAGCTGTAGAACGAGAAGATCAAAATCCATATTGATAATCAGAAAGTAAGTTATTAGATTCAAGATGAGAAATTAAGTGCTTGTTAATTAAAGATTCAAAAACCTTGCCTATGATATGAAGAAGACTAATGGGACGGTAGTTAGGGTAAATAGGGATAACAGATGCTGCTTTCCAGCAAGCTGGAAAACAAGACTCTGATAAGCACTTGTTAAATAGTTTTGAAAGTATAGACGACAGCTCCGGAGAACATTTTTGCAAGACTATTACAGGTATGTTTTCCGGGCCACAAGCTGTAGAAGACTCTAAGGAGGAAATCACTTTAGATACAGAAGCTGGAGTGATACCAATGTCAAGCAATGGATTAACCTGTTTGACAGCTATATCAGGTAGAACGCAACTAGTGGAATCAAGAGATGATATTAATAAAAAGTACTTAGCAAATAATTCAGCTTTGTCTTTAGGTGAAGTGACATATTCTGAACCATTTAAGAGAGGTGGAATTACAGATTTGCCCAAATTGTTGATATTATTAAAGATTCTTCAGAAGTCACGAGAGTCTAATTTTTGTGATGAAACACAAGATTTCATGACCTTAGGATAGCGGGCTTTGGCGTTTGACAAAACCTTTTTACAACGGTTTTTAGCAGTAATAAACAGACTTCTGTTTACTGGAGAATTATTTTGCTGATAGATATGGAAGTAACACTTTCGATTGGAAATCGCAGCAGCACAATGTGAGGAAAACTATGGAGAAGAGTGAGGCTTGACCTGGAATCGTCAAAAGGGAATAAAGGATTCCATACCAGCTATACTATATTTGATACAGCATGGATCCACGAAGTTATGTAAAAAACACATTTGTCAACAGGGAGACGAAAGATTTCTGCCCAAGGGCCAACACGAAGAAAATCGTGTTGGCCCTTGGGTACGGTCCCCGCATGCCTTGGAAACAAACTTAACATACATGTTCGTTGGAACTAGGGTGTCCCACTCTTAACCTGACCAAAATTTTTTGATTGAACTATATCTCAATCATCCTTATTTTATCCCAAGACACACCAAAAAAATTTTTTTTAGGTATCCAAGTTAATTCCAACAAAAGATATTTACATATACAAAAGTACATTGAATTTTTGTCCCCTTCCTCATTTCTTGGTGTTCCTGATTAATGATTGAATAGTAGAAAATTGTCCATTTTTTATTAATTTTTGTTCTGAAAAAATAAATCTTTCATTTAACAGTTAATACTAATACACGTTGGTCATTTAAAGACAAATAAAATCAAAAATCACATAAAGTTTACATAAAATCACTTTTTTTCATGTCTTTTCCAATCTTTTTTTTTTTTTTTTTTGCACAACTTACAAAGTATTCTGTAGAAGAACTTTATCATGACTTTTAGCAGCAAAATTGTGTACAAGTTTGATGTGGCGTTCAGCCCTGTCATTTACTACTGCTAGATTCTCCAATTGATACTTAAAATGTTTGTAGGAATCACTTTCAAAGTTGTCCTTTCTCTATGCGTTCATTACTTCCGTAATTATGCCTAGGTATGTAAAGAACAGCCAGGACTCCTTAGTGATAAAGTTGGATAAAACTGACATGGGAACCTCATGAGTCGGAGGCTGAAGTTGTTCCCTTTCAAAATCATCAAGTTGCGGATAATTGAAATCTAGCAGCTTCTAAGCTAGTCCAGCTTTTTCTTTCAGATCTAAATAGCTATTTGCTATTAAAAATAACTAGCTGTGGGATCAGGTACCAACTATGACGGACCAAGCTTGCATGGAACAGCTTTCCCAGGCAACCATACTTGGATATATATAGCTTATTGTTCATTATTTCATAAGTTATCTTATAAGCATCCACATTTTGTAATAAAGTCTGGACCACCACATTATGCGTCGCGAAGCGGACTTTAATATTTTAGTATTTTAAATATTTTTTAATCAAAACAAGTTAGCATTAGTTAATAAAAAAGTATTTCAAATTTTTTTAAATTTGCCTTTTTAAGTGTGGGATTTTTAGGGGTAAAAAAATTTGGGTTTCACTAAATCCTCAATTATTTTGCATATTATCAAATAAATGATACATTTTGTAAAATAAAAAACAAGAAAAGAAAAAAAAAAAGTTTTGGATCATTGTTCTTGTGTGTCCGTAAAGATTGATTGATTATTTTTCTGCGATAAATAGACTTTTTAGAATTGAAATAACATTCTGGCTACCTTTGTAGTAACATGGTATAATATCAATTCATTGTAGTGGATTTTATTAAAAACCCACAAGTTAAGTATAAAAAACAACACTAGATGCGGAGTGGTATATTTTTTTCTAATCTTTATGTTATTACTTCTAAGTTAAGCAATTATAATGTTTTAAATGGTTATTATTAATCTCAGAAAACTTTTGTTTGATGATTTTCCTCTAAGACATATTTTTAAAAGGCATATTTTCATAAGGCATATTTTTATAAGTAAAAATGTATTTGTATGTGCTTTATTTTTGCAGTCCATGTTTTTATCACTTTATGCTGGTTACACTGAGTTTTAACATTTTTGAAAGTCTGCCTTTTTATTTAATAAAAACTTTTGGAAAAAAAAGTTGTTTCTGACTAAATATAAAATATCAAAAATCAACAAAGTAAATATCTCTTGTGAGTATAATATGTTTTGTACATTATGTTGTTATTATTATACTTGAAGATAATTTTTCAAGTACAAGTGATCTCAAAATTTAATAAATCTCAAAATTTTAAAATCATCTAAAGCTTTATTCTTTGACACTTTCTTTTTGATTTTGTTCTTCTCTACGCATACTTTCTATCATATCTAACATTCGCTTTGCCCCGTCTATAATTTTTTTTCGATAATATTTATCTTTCCCAGTGTCAAACTTAAACATTTCACCTTTAAATGCTCTCTTCAAGAACTCAATATCTTCTGTCTTTGCTTGCTTGTCTCTATTTTTGTCATCTTTTATAAGTTTTAAGATGTCTGTTTATAAACAGGAAAAGTACAGTTGGCTTCTTTTATAAAACTCTCTTTTTTTTATATTGTTCTTCTTTGATCTTGTTTTATTCCATAAGGGTTCTAAAACTACACAGTTTTTTGTAGCGTTCATAAGATTTCTCAAGCTTCTTCTTCACTTCTTGTTCTGTAACCCAAAATCTAGAATCAAACCCTTCCTTGTCTCAAAGACTTAATAGCTCTCTCAGAACGCATACTCCAGTATTTTTTCCCTTTTTACTTTTCTTACACTCCCCTACAACGCAAAGCATAGATCTTGACTTTGTCTTTAGTGCACAGGATGGATTTGTATTTTGATTAAGACAAGCTCCTCCAGGTTTGGTAGTCCAAGCAAAATTCAATAGGAAAGAAAAAGTCTTTACATATTTGTTTCAAAATTTTTTTACCGAAAAAATTAAAATAATACCTGTTTGGTACAAACATATATAGTGGATGCTGAAGTATGTTTGTTCTTTTACACCTATTAGTTTTCTGTGGAGCTAAACTTATGTTGCAGGATGTACCTGAGGTTCTGTTTGACAACTCTTGCTAGTTCTAGGAGAGGTATATCTCATTGGAGGAGTACTTCTGCAACGTGTATTTATGAAGCAGCTCTTCTCGTTTCTCATTCTTACAGTACTCCGACCATTTCTAGCCCTTGGAGATTTACGAGGAAACCCATTATCATTGTCAGCCATTATATATTTAAAGAAATTTTTTATATCTGAAAAGTATAATTAAAGGGTCAGATAATATTTTACATAAAAGCAATTATTTAAATAGAGCATTAATGCCGCTAAGACCATGACCAAAACATTGCAAAACATATTTGAATCAATCTTACTTTATTCATCCGAGACATAATATTTCAATATTTGTATAAAAATCTCATTTTATGTCTTAAACAAGTTTAGTTTACACTTTTAATTTACATTTGCTTATTTCTTATATTTTTTTAATAGATATTATGATAAAAATATCAATTACTTCTTTAAAATATATAAAATAATGATGCATAAAATAATGATTTCTACAGACATTTTCAACAATCAAATTTTATGTGATTTTTGAATTTGTTTGTCTTTAAATGACCAATGTGTATTAGTATTAACAAAAAATAACTAAAAAATAAACAATTTTCTACTGTTCAATTATTAGTCAGGGGCACCAAGAAAAAGGGAGAGGGGGCAAAAAATTCAACGCATTCTCGCATATGAAAATACCTTGTACTGGAATCCGTTGACTTTGAAACCTAAAAAAGTTTCTTTTGTTGTGTCCTGGGACCTAATAAAGATGGTTGAGATAGAGGGCATTCAAATATATTTTGGTCAGGCTAAAAGTGGGACAGCTTAATCGGGATCTCACAAATGCTGTCAAGATAAAGTAAAAACTAAGTAAAGTCTGAAAGATAAAATAAAATAATATATAAAAAAAGAAATTCAAAAAAGTGGAGTTCTCCAGTTGGCTCTAAAAACAATTTTAACATCTACGTTTATTAAATTTACACAAATACTGGAAGTTTCAGAGCTTTAGCTATTCTGGAAGATAGTGAAAAATCAATAGCAAGGTTCCGGGATAACTAATAGCCGACAAACAACTTGTAAAGTACTACAAACATTAGTTTGATTTCAGTCAAACTAACGTTTAAAAAAAAAATACAAGTTTATTCTAATACACTATTTTCATTGAATAATATTTTATTTTTCTAATCATCTTTGTGCGGGTGGTAATTAGTGTGCCCACAACCTATAGTAGAAGATTGACGAGCTTTCTTTCCCATCTTTTTTCAAATAGATTATATATGATAAAACGCAATAAAAGATTATATCTGATAAACACAATTTAAATCATATAAATTATATCAGATAGTTTAAATGACTTATAATTTTTTAAAAACTCAGTCAATGCCCTTACGGATACCTAAAATGTTATATTGCGTCATGTTACCATAACAAAATACTTAACTGAAACAGTGAATACATAGGAAAAAAAACTGGAGAAAAAGCGCGCTCTAACGAGCAGTGACTTAGTCAAGGTTTACACATACATGAATTAACCATAGCTTAAATATTATCTCCCCTTCCCTTCCCCTCACGCCAAAGTTACATTATGGCCACTAACCTTTTTCAGCACTATTAGCACTCATGCGGCAGTGTGCTTGTCTCTACACCACTGGTATACCCGCATGTTGAATATACTTGCTCCTAATTATAATAGAACTACCATTTATGATATACGTGAAAAAAAATTCTTTCCCGATGCCCCACCACAAACACTACCTACATACATCAGAGTATTACCTGAAGTATTACCCAGAAGTGCCCTAAAACAGACTATGGATTTGAATACCTATAGGTATATACGTTAAAGCGACATATTGTACCATATAATATCATGTAAAATATATCGTACCATTTCACATAAAACATATCGTACCATTTCAGTATATACTGATATGGTACAATAAATGTTTTATATAATATGGTATGATATGTTTCATATGGTATGATATGTTTCATATGTTTCATATGGTACAATATGTCGCTTTCACATATATATATGTAGAAGTAATATATTGCAACCTCAGAGCAACAAAGTTTTAACTCACAAAAGAATTGTGAGTTAAAAACTTGATGTTCTGAAGTCGTGATATAACAACTTGCGCGTAATTAAATTCCTTAGCCCCAAAAATCCTAATTTTGATGTTAAATATTTTGATGTTAAAAATTTTGATGTTAAACTTGATACTTAATAAGTGATAAGTTATTTCATATTTGAATACAGGCCCGTAGGAACAAAAACTATGTTCGGAAAGGGGGCGGGGCAGTATTTCCTCGAAATAGTTTTAATGACCTTTTTTTTTCAGACATTTTTCAGTTAATTTTTTCAAAATTATTTTATTTGAAATATTACTGGGAGGGCAAATGCTCCTTCTGCCTCCCCGGTTGCTACCGGCCTGGAAAAGGTTTTCAAAAGGGAGCCTTTTAATAGATACACAAAAACTTTGTACTCTTTAACGTTATATTGACACAGTATACCAATATAACGATTGGTATGATAGATTATTGCGTAAATTCTAGAATCGCTTTAAGTATAAATTAAAAAACCTAACACAATTACAAAATAATTATTTAAGGTTGTTGAATTTTATTTTGCTTTTTTTTTTTATGTTGATTTTAGGTGCCCCAAGAAGTCCTTACGGTCTTATCACAGAGCACCGCGGAAGAGCATTTAAAGGGAAGTTCACGCCTCCTTGCCAACCGATGTTGCAAAACTTGCCCAGAGGTGGGGTTTGAACCAAGGATCTTACGTTTCTGAGGCAAGTGCGCTACCACTGCGCCACGGCTGCTCTAAATCTCTGATTTCATGTAGTATAACAATAGACATACTTTATAACTTTTTATGATAAAAAATTCCATCTTTGTTAAAACATAACATTTTAAACGTCATTGAAAAATTCGTCTTTGTACGGAATACTCTCATCATACTTGGTCTGGTTTTTCTAAGGATGCCTGTTCTCTTCTTAACAAAGTCTAAGAATGTGTTGTAAATACTAGTTAGTGAAGTTTTGGACTAACTTTCTATATTTAAAGAATATTTATTAACTTATGTGGTATGCTTAACAAAAGACCATTATCAATAAAATAAAATTCATTATTCACTTAGAATGTTCTCTTGTAAACTATTGCCATAAGAGGATTATAACTACAAAAGAAAACTATTATTTAAATAAAAAGAATTTGATATTTGATAAGTGGTAACAATACCAAATTAATAATTTTTAATAACATATGAGAGATTTTACGATCTTATTTGGTATTACAAAGAAGCTTAGTTTAAAAAAAATTTATGTACTTAAATTTGTGTTTGTATGTGTTTCGGATCATTCAAAAAGTCAGCATTATATTTCGTATTTGAATTAGATTTTACAAATGAAGTTTTTAATTGATACGCCAAAAATTTGTACTCTTTAGTATTACATTGACAGTGTATGTATGCGACTGGATATTGAGAATCTAGCTTTTTTACGAAATTTTACAATTTTTTCTGATCGATTGAAGTTTTAAGCAAAAATAAGTTTAAGAAATTTAACCAATTGAAACAAATCTAACGAATTTAACCAATTGAAACAAATCTAACGAATTTAACCACTTGAAACAAATCTAACGAAAACCACTAAAAACATTCTCCACACGCGCACAAAAAAAGCAGTAAATATGGTGATGCTGATCAGAAAAAAAAAAATTTTTTTATTACTTGTTTTTGCTATTATTTGTATCATCTATATACTTATAAATAACTTGATTGAATGTAACAAAGTGCGTAGTCAGTATAAGAAAGTACTTCGTGATTATAATAACATTTATCATGAGTACACAAATAATCATAATGAATATATAAAAAAAGATCGCGAATATACAAATGAAGAGCATAAAGATAATTTGGTATATGAAATTAAGAACACAGTAGAACAACAAAAAACCCGCCAAAAAGCAAGCGCATGCGTGTTACCGAATCTCAATCCATTCAGTTCCGATATATTGCATTTTATAAAAACATATCAAATAGATTGCTTAAAAAAACGTCATGGAAAAATTACGAATGATGGCTGGTTTATATTACAACCAAATAATACAACGATTTCCAATGTCATTATCAAATATATTTACCGAAACACAGATTATTTGGTAAATTTTTCAGACCCTATATCAGTTAAATTCGAAAACGGTAAAACTAATTTTTTGCTTATTACTTTTATAAACTATTTATTTATCATTTTTAATTAAAATATTATTTATATATTGCATTCATAAAAAAATATTTTTTAATTTTTATAATGGATCTTATTATAATACGACATTTTCCGGTTAAACATAATTTAACATTATTATTTAACATAATTTAACGTTAAATATGGTATGTTAAATAAGATAACTATGTCTTCAAATTTTAACTATACATCAAGTGATTAATAAATGGTGACGTTTCTGGAATTTCTGTTAAGCAAACAGGGGTTTTTTCACACGATGACCTTTCTTTTCATTTTTACAAATTTGATAATGACAATCACATTTTTACAGCTTGGATATAAAGCATAAAAAAGCTGCGTAAGATTGTAAAATAACTAAAAATTGACATTTTTTCAAAAAATATATTATATATTCTTTATTTATATATTTTTACACTTAAAAACAGAAATCTTATGCAAGTTTAAGTTTTTATATAATGCTCTGATATTTTCTTCATAAAAAAGCTTTTTAGAAACAGCTTCTAAATAATAATATACAAGGCCGTGTCTATTTAACATAATAGTCCATGGGACAACCTCTGACGACAGTATGAAGTTTTATACGTGAAATAGGAACAAACTAAAAATCAGAGCAGACATTAAAAACTAGAATAGTAAAATTGCTTCAGTTACAGTTTCTAGAAAATTCAGACAAAAACTTTGATACCGTTTGCATCTTATTGTCGAGATTTGCTATTGCATTCTTGTCATGATAAGTATAAAGTTTTTGAAACCGTTTGAAGCATGAAAACAAAAGATAGAAAAAATGTAACTTTTTAAAATTGTGATTGGGTTGACGCTAGCAAAATGTTTGAGCAAAATATTTTAATTGATTAAAAATAATATGACTGATGTTTATACAGCTGACAGAGCTAGTGAGTCTGATGAGACAAAACATTTTGTTGTGAATACTAATGGAAATGAAAGAATACTTTAGCAATTGCTTGCGATTAACACGTGCACGTGTTAATCGCAAGATCGCATGAACCCTTGGTTCAATGGGAGAAATTGAAACTACTTGTGTATTTTCACAGTCAGGCAATTTAACTCGTAAAAGCACATTGCAAAAGAAGTGATGTTCTGACTGTATTATCTAACAGTTTTTCAATGGTTTTTGGTGTTAATAATATACTGATTTTGTATCGGAATACTAAATCACTATAGTATTGATAATTATCATCGGCTATAACTACTATCACCAACTGCCATCGACGATAAATATTATAACTAATTATCCATCGACGATAATTTTTATCACTGATGACAAATCTTGTCATTGATAAATCCAAATCAATTTAGATTCGGTTATTTTGTTGTTTAATGATTTGAAATCAAAAGAACAGATTATGCATGTAATAATGAAAATAGAACTATTATTATTATAAGTCGTGCCTTTACCTGCATAAATACAAAGTTTTTATAAATATCATTCATCAGACCAGTACTGGAATATGCTGTAGTAGTGGTCGCCGTATCTTGTTGGTGATATTAGTTTATTTATTAGTGATCATTATTATTATTACTATAATTATTTACATTTTTACGTTTAATAATAACTAGCAGTAAGCAACCCGTAATACGCGTTGTTAGTAAATAAAATTAAAAAAAAAAAACGCGTATAGAAAAGCCTAGAAGCTACTTTAAAATAGAAAAGCCTAGTAAATGACGTAATTCGACTAATAATATTAAATTAGCGTATTAATATTATCAGAAGAGATCAGCTGCTGACGCTTTTAATAATAATCAAATATGATCTGATTGTGGTACATCAAAACAGACTCCTGATTTTTTTGAGAAAACTTCCAAGAAATAATGCCATTTATACAACAGTGGTAAAATAAAATAATGCTATTCAGACAAACAAAAATGAATGATTTTGTTGATTATACTAAAAGCCATTAGATACTAAAACAATTGATTAAAGTTTGGAAAAATGAAATTTATATATTTTTTATTTTTTAAAAACTACCAGATTTTTGTATTGAGTTTATACTATAAAAAATAAAATTTAACAATGTTATTATGACCAAAAAATGAAAATTCCGTAATACGAAATAAACGATTAAAAATTAAAGAAGAAAAATCATCTAAAATACTATGGAAATGGATATGACATATGATATGAACATGGATATTCAGAGAAATAAACTTCTTATAACTAAGCAAAAAAATCAAAAAACATTTAACCATTAGATTACTGCAAGCATCTAAATCATCATAAACACCCAAATAAAAAATCAAAAAACATAGCTCAACCATTAGATTACTGCAAGCACCTAAATCATCATAAATACCCAAATAAAAAAAATTTAAAATGTTTAATTTTTTTTTTTTTTCAAATCATAACGGTTTTCTGCGGCAAGACATTACTGTCTTCTTTGAGTTTCCGTATTCTTTGTTCCTTATTTTTATTGATATATTCATTATGTCTTCTGATATACTAAATGTAAAACAATGTTAGTGATAAAAGAAAGTCATTTTTAAACTAAAAACTTGTTACAAAAATTCGTTGTTTACAATAATAATATTTTCGCTACATATTTATAAGTTTTTTATACTTAACAAAAATGACAAACTGTCAGTCATCACTAGGTTACTATTAACTTGGTTTTAAAACTTATTTTTAGGGTAGCAACATTTTAATCCAGATTAAAGTTGAGAACAAGCGTCCATAAAACGTCTATATATCATATAGCTCAATTACATATCGTGGTCCCTATTTATTCAACAAAATAGTTTCCAGAAACAAATCACTATTACACCTAAACAACGAACACTCTCTGAAAATAAAGCTAAAATCTACAATAATCATATTAAACAACTATAAGGAATTTTTTTAAAATATTAATAAAAAAATTTAAATAAATGTAGCTTAACTTTTAATACAAATCGATAAAAAAAAAATAATAATATTACAACATACATATATACCAAGTATGCAACTGATTTTTATGTGTATTACACGTCCAGAAAAAGATACTTGATGACAAGACTGACTTAAGTCTTCTGCGAGCTTGCTATAACTACTAACAAGTAATTCTTCTTATCAATCTTATAGTCAAACATCTAAACACTTCTCCGAAAAATCAGCTAATTTATTTTTATTTATTGTATTATTTTAACTGAAATAATATAGAGATATATATTATACGTACACGTTACTACATTGTTGTAATTGGTGTTTATATTAATCGTGTCTCGGAGTTGTATGCACTATATTTTTGTTTACTTCATATATTTCGTACTTTATGTTTATGATATTTATGTTTGTATATCTTTACCACCAATCTGTGATTGGTTACTAGTAAATAACGGTGGGAGTTAAGGTTAGTTTTAGTATAACTAAAAATACTTAACTAAATTTTTAGTCTAACTAAAATTAGTTGACTAACTTTTTAGTTAACTAAAATTACCCGACTAACTTTTTGGTTAACTTAAATTAGTCAACTAACTTTTTAGTTAACTAAACTCAGTCGACTAACTTTTTAGTTAACTAAAATTACCCGAATAACTTTTTAGCTAACTAAAATTAGTCGACTAACTTTTTAGTTAACTAAAATTAGCCGACTAAATTTTTAGTGTAACTAAATTTAGTCGACTAAAGTAAGATTTAGTGCTTGAAAAAAGAAATAATCTTTCGCATAAAAATTTTACACACGAGGAAGCTTTATTAAGGTGATAAATATTATTTCATCGTAATTAAACACTTTAATAATTGTGAATCCTAAAGCCCAGTCGAACTAAACTGTAATTCAAAAGAAATGCTTTAAGCAAAATTCGATTATATTTATTTTTTCCCAGCTCGGAGACATCTGCCTATGAAGTTGTTGCAACTGTTTATAAACACCCAATCAGCATGGAATATACAAATAATGCCCTTTAGTCAATTAAATCAAATTTGGTACGCTTATTGAACGTTTAACTTATATTTTTTATGTGCTGCTTCCTATAGGTAGTGTGTAATAATAATCACACATCAAAAATAATCTCCTCTGCCAAGGCCGTACCGACGTGAGTATGGGCACCTTCCTAGGGTTACAACATTCTGTTGGTTTTGTCAGTAATTTGGAAAATTTGAGACTCGGTCAGTTAAAACTGCAACTTGACTTTTAAATAAAAAAAAGCTCTACTTTGGTGAAAATTTTATGGTAAAAAAGCTTGTTTCATTTGCACCCCCTCCCCTACGTCTTCGTTGTTCAGTACAGCCCTGTCCCCTGCCATATTATAGGAATGGATTCAATCTCTAATTTTCACAACAAATCTACATCTCCCCCTCCCCACCCCTTCAAATATCAACCTCTCCTAACGACTTTTATAACCCGCAAACACTACAGTTAGGCAGTATTGACATGAACCCAAAAGATAATCGTTAAATAAGTTATTATGAATATATTTATTGCTTTCAGAGTATAGTTGTTTGTCGGTTTTTTTTTTATGTTTTTTTTTTTTATTTTTTATTTAATTTTGTTCTTTTATCTTTACAATGTTGTGATTCTACATGACTGGTACAATGTTGTAATGTTTTTAAAATATATAATACTAAAAATATATCACAATTTTATAAAATACAAAAAATATGATTCTAGGGTATCATTAATATTAAAAGAACGCGGGAAACTTGCAGAAGACCAGATGGTCTTGTCATCAAGAAACCGCTTGTACTTGTAATATTTTTTGTATTTTCGTTTTACAATGTATCTAGTTTCACAAAATACTTCGTTTTATATTGGGTTCACATATAATAAAATGTAAAAATAAAAAAGTTGGTAAATGCTGTTTGTAGTACACATAATTCACATAATAACAAATGCTGTTGGTAAATGCTGTTTGTAGTACACATAAATATATTATTAGGCATAAATATAATTATTATTGACTTATATTGATTTTTTATATTAATATATATTATTGAAGTTTTTTTTGAATTTTGTTTTCAATT